ATTCCTTGTATATATTTTATACTTGGTCATTAAAGTATTTTGTATTTGTATTGTATTGTATGCTGCTTTATTTTATTTTCTTAACTTCTTCAAGGATGTCCACTGGGGTTTTATGGGAAAGACTGTGCATTAATCTGCCAGTGTGAGAACGGAGCTGATTGTGATCACATCTCAGGCCAATGTACATGTCGAACAGGATTCATGGGAAAACACTGTGAACAGAGTGAGTTGGAAACTCTTCTTACTCATTGTTAAGAGGAGATGTATGTATAATTAAAACTCACTAAGCTCTTTTTCTTACTCAGAAAATGCTGACTATATTAAAATTTCACGTTGATAACTAATGCATAAGACAGTGGTACTTCATACATTGTAAACTGTATTGTATACAGTCCATAATGCAGTTGTTTTAAAGTTTGATCTTAAGTTATGATTTTCATTGAATTTAGTGGAATTAAGAGTGCATAGTTAGCTCCTTAAAATGCAATTCTAGGCAAAGTCACTGGCATACAAATTCTGTTGAAATCAATAGAATTAGATGTAAATGGGGGGATTAGGTTGGAGGTTTCTGTTCTAGTTGAACTTTCAGTAACATTTCAATGATTTTTTAAGAAAACTTCTACAATGAAGCTACCAATGAAAGTTAATTTATTTTCTTTTTCTTTTTTGTAAAAACTGATATATATTCTGAATACTCTAGCTGGCTTTGGCATATTATGAGAAACATTTTACTAGTATTTTTTTCCTTAAACTTTGTATTTAAAAAAAAAAATGTTTAGAGTTAATCTGCATTTCAGGAATGCAGGAATCTGCATTTCAACTTTAATTAATGCATTTACTAACATATAACTTTTTATAATATAAGTAAAACATCATAAGAGAGATGGAAGAAATTATTTTATTCTGAGAGTTTGACTTCTATTGTAATGAATGGTTTCCCAGCTATTTTAGCAACCTGATTTTCTGTGGAGCCTTTTAAGAAAAGTGGGGGCAACATTATCTTTTATCGAGAGAATGTTACGTTGTACAAGCATGTATCTTAAATTGTATTTGATCTGCACTTATAAGCATTTTTCATGCTATGGCCAATGTCTTAGATATAATTTCTTATGATGAAACTTTGCCATCTGGTGGTGACTGATAACATCTACACGTTTTCTGGCAATAGGAATTTATTCATAGAGCTTGATTCAGAAGAGCTTATATACTAATCTGTTTACAGAACTGTAAACATATGGGGCTTTGTTACACAGAAAGACTTCATATCATGAAATAGGACTTTCCTTTCTCATTCTCCCTCCTGCATGTTCTTGAAGAAAAGCAGATCTGCTTTTCAGAGAAGATGAGGAGGGACATGCTATATGGGAAGTGGAATCTTTTCTGCCACCAATGTCTGCACTGCTGATCAATGAGTACCCATAATGTTGTGTATCTTCATGCTCCATTGCTAAGAATTTGGAAGTCCCAGTTGTACTCTGAGCTGCTTATAGTCACTAGTATTTGAGAAGGGTCTATGAATCTGACTGCAAATTTGAATAAGGTAAAAACCTAAAAACTCCATGTGCTTTCTAAAGAGTGTCCCCCAGGTACCTATGGCTATGGTTGTCGGCAAATATGTGACTGCCTGAACAACTCAACTTGTGACCATATCACTGGAACCTGTTATTGTAGCCCTGGCTGGAAAGGAGCAAGATGTGACCAAGGTAATATTTTCTAAAAATTGTTCATTAAAAAATGCTGATAGGACTGCCTCCCAAAGTATATTTGTGGGGGTGCCATTGCTATTTCAATTTTCTGATTAGAAGGAGGATCGTGCTAGATTGTTGCAAAATGTAATGTATCTTGGCAGTGCAGTACTGGCCAGTGGCAAAGAATGCTAAGAGTTTTAGCTTCACAAGAATCCCACTCCCAGTCCTATATATACATAGTCAGGTACAATTCATCATCTTTTACATGGCACTGATTTCTTCTCAAGCATGATTAGGATCAGACTTAACACACAGTCTAATGTATGTTTATCAAAAGTAAACTCCTTTACATTAAAAAAGGTTGATCTGAACTAAGTGTGTTCAAATTAAACATCATCTCATTTGTTCCCAGTAACATTTCCTAAACAGTCCCCAAGGTGTATTAGGTACTATTTAGCATTCTGCATAGAAAGTGGAATGGCAGTTGAATTCCCAGGGGGCTTAATTTAGAAGAAGAGATATACCCTGAAAATTTCTTATTTCTGTCTGGCACTTTATATTTTACCACTGTAACATTTATAATTTGTAAAGTTGTTTGGAAATTACCTCTATTTTATTCTACTGTGGCTAATTTTTATATACAGTAAATTATAAAATGTTTCATAATTTTTAAGGTATGAAATAATTTTTAAAATAATCTATAGTGTGTCATTTATTTATTTTTATATCTTGTCTTTTTGTTCCACCCAGTAGTCAGGACAGCTGACAATAATTAAATAATTGATGATGAAATATAATTAAATTTAAATTAAATACATATATTAAAATTACAAAAGTATTATTAATTAATAATTAAAACCTGTCAAAAGGAAGGCCAAACATAGTATATGCATTATTTAAATGAAACTGGATATATAGTTAAAATAACATTTCAGAAACTATGTCTTTTGAAGTACAAAACAAATTAGAAAAAATGTGCTAATTTCTCCAATTTTAGTTTTTGGCTTACAAAATAAATTAAAACATATTTTGAAAAGTTCCAAATTGTTTCCTGAAAGTTCTTCAAAGACATGTTAATTGTTGTAGGTTCTAAAAAGCATTGGTAGTTATAAAAAGCATGAAATTTTAGGCAAACATTCATGTAAATATCCCTTTTCATCCTGTCTGATCATCCTTTCAACTCTGCCATTTAGGTTAGGCTGAACAGAAATCAGTTGTTAGGCAACCACCAATTCAGTTCCAGAGTGACCTTCAGAAGCAAGCAGTGAGATAAGCTGCTGAGGAGAACAATGAAGAAGGCATAAGGGTAAAGGCCGCCCAGCTCCCTACCATCTGTCCCAAGGGGCAGCACAGCCCACCATATTTTCCACTGGCCAAGACATAGTGTGACAAGTCTGGTCTGCCGGTCTGCAACAGGAGATGGGCAGAGAAGGAGGGACAGGGGTGTTGGGCAAGCACCTTCTACTGTAGGAGCCATGGGCCCTTGTTTTCCTCCTTGTTTCTATGCTGCTTCCCTTTCCCTTCCCAGACTCACTGCCTCCAAAGTGGCTGAACTGAGCAGAAGAAAAGATGTGTTAGCTACAGTTGCAAGGGTTGTGCAGGCACCCTGGATGGTGCCAAGACCTGCTGGTGTAGTGATTAATCAGAAATACTTAAGTTGCCAAATTCCAGCAGGGTATGGACATGTTCCAACTCTAGCCTGCCGATTTTTTGGGGGAAAAAATAACTGGTTTGTGTGAACCCCAGACTAGAACAGTTAGAAAATAACACTGGCAGTAGTGGATTGTTCTAACGTCTGTAACAGAACTTCATTGCTGACTGGAAATTTGAACCCAATTCTATTCCAGCACCTTAACTACTGAACTACTCTGTGTGGTGTGATTTTTGAGAACCAGGTGTCTTAACTCTTTTAAAAGTATAACTCAATAATGTAACCTAATTCTTATGTGAAAGCATAGTTTCAAAAAAATCTGAGTGCCAGGCACCTTATCTTCTGGCATGTTTTCAAGCATATTTAAATCATTTATAAATTAACACATACTAGAAATGTTCAAAATATTTTGAGGTTGAAATGTTATGATCCCCAAATGCCCTGTTTCAGCCTTAGAATGGCCATTCTGAACTTTGTTCCAAACGTACAGGAACTGTACCCATTTCAAAATGGTTTGTTCTAACTCAAAACAAAAATACGGGAATGAAGGTTGGAACAGCGTCAGAACATTGTCAGTAGGTTAGAAGAGAGCTTGGAATGGACAATATTTTCACTTTGAAACACGTGACATGCTTCTAATATATATTGTTCAGCTTACACAATTAAAAAAATGTCTTCTGTATACATAGGATTTCTTTTATATGTTTATGACTGGCTTTTCATTTCTTTTGTTTTCTACAGCAGGGGTAATCATTGTAGGAAACTTGAACAGTTTAAGCCGTACTAGCGCTGCCATCCCAGCTGATTCTTACCAGATTGGAGCCATTGCTGGAATCATAATTCTTGTCCTTGTCGTCCTTTTCCTGCTTGCTTTGTTCATTATTTATAGACAAAAGCAGAAAGGGAAAGAAACAAATATGCCAGCAGTCACCTATACACCTGCCGTGAGGGTTATCAATGCAGATTATACAATTTCAGGTAGGAATACAGTACTGCAATATTAATTCTATCTCTGCTAGACATAATTTTAGCAAAGGAAATTTTTAAAATCCTCTCTGTGATTAAGGGCTTTGTACAGTATTAGCAAATTCTGTAGGAACAGAAGATTTTGCTTTGATTGATTGATTAATTGACTGAATACGTATCATCAAGTTGTTTTCGACTCCTAGCAACTACATAGATAAACTACAGTGCTATTGAAAAAATATGAAAATCTAGAATCTTTTCTGTTTCCCTCTTCTACCTATTAACTACTAACTTTCTGTATAGTACTTTGCCGTAGTAATTGCAATCTACCAAATTAATGTCTTTAACTCAGCAATGAATATTTGAACCTCCAGATATTGTTGAATTCTAGTTCTCATCTGCTGTAGCAAGAACGGCTAGTATTGAACCATGATGGAAATCCAGTAACATTTGGAAAAGTTCAGTTACCCTGTCTTGTCTTATCAGGATCATTTAGAGACAGTCATTTCAGTAGTTTATGGGGAAACCAAATAGATTAGCCTTAAGCACTATCAGTGCTCCTGCCAATGTACTTATTATCTGTTATTTAAAAGGATATTTACATGTAGAAAAGAGCTGTGGGAAAGGAATGAATATTTCTAAGACTGTTCCCAATGTGTTACATTGCAAATTTCATGGATAAAGCTCAGAAGCCAGTATTGTATCTGTTTTGACCTTTTTAGAGTTTGAGAAACAATTATATTTCATTTTGGTAATAAGATGCATTTGAAACATCCACACAAAAATTGTTGAAAGGCCAGCAGTAATTTGAAGTACTAAATAAATCAATTTTGGAATGCATTTTATTTTCATAAAGATCTGAAATATTAATTGATCATTTAGTATATTTAAAAAAAAATCATTATCCTTGAGAAAGAGACCAAACTAAGTTCAGAAGATGCATTTAGGAATGAAAAAGGATTGAAGAGCAATTATATAAATCATTCTTAATCTATGCTTTAATTCTAGGATTGCTGTTAGCTAGTTCTTAAGACTTGTGCTATAAATTAGATGATGGGCAATGATGAAGCATCTACTTTTTTTCTTTTCAGAAACCATTTCTCATAGTAATGGTGGAAACACTAATAGTCACTACTTCTCCAACCCCAGCTATCACACTCTAACACAGTGCTCAAATACAGCAAATACCAACAACATGAATAGGATGACTCTGTCAAAGGTAAGAAAATAAAAAAGGCTGTATACTAATATACCAGATGGATGTGTAAAATGCCTCAAAAAAGACTACACTTGTAAAAACCCCATACTTCCAATTGCATTCTATACAATGAAATATATCATTATGTACTATATAATATTTATTTATTTATTTATTTATTTATTTATTTATTTATTTGAAACAGTCAAACAAGAACCAGCTGTTTGTGAATCTTAAAAACGTGGACCCTCAAAAGCAAGCCCCTGTCATGGATTACACAGGGACGTTGCCTGCTGACTGGAAGCATGGAGGCTACCACAATGAACTAGGTATAAATATAAGAACAGCCAGTTGTAAGCATGATACTGTAGATTTTAGATATTAGGAACAATTAGTGCAATAAATATAACTATTCCCAGCAGAGGGGGCTACTAGTTTATTTAGGTTTTCTTCTTCTCCATTATTTACAGGGGCTTTTGGAATTGACAGAGGTTGTATGGGGAAATCCTTGAAAGGTGAGTATGAAATTTCCCCAAAGGAAAATACATTGGCGTATGGTAGATGTGTTGAAGCTAAGCAATCCTGGACGTGATCCCTATTCTGGACCCATAAAAATATGTTAGAACTATAAATTAATACTGAGAGTATGTTAATTCATGAACTACAAAAATATATTTTAGTTTTCTTATATGTTGCATTATTCGTGAACTTACAGAAAAAGAATGCAAACATTGGTTTTTCTCTTTGTCCCCTTTTCCATCTTTCTACCCAGTAGTCACTCTGGACTCTTTATATGTAAGCGCATTGGCACTCCAATATTGCTACTGGTTGTTTCAAAGACAAAGGGATCAGATTATTTCCAAAAACAGCTGAAAAGACAATAAATATAGATTTGGGACAATACTACAAGGCTAAAAATAACTACAGAAAAATTAGCAAAACCTACATACAGTGACAAATACTGACAAAAATATATTAATTCCTTATTTTAATGTATGTTGCTCTCGAGGATCTTGGTGAAAGTGTGTGAAAGTGTCAGGACTTTATGCAACATATGCAGTGGATATTAATGAAGAGGGACTAAGAGATTCTGTACAAAAATCTTTGCTTCTACTTTCCTAACATTTTCTTCCCTTGACACATACATTTATTTTTTTATCTCATTTTATTTATCAGAGTTGGAAAGGATCTTTTTGGCTATTAGGCCCATCCCCTGCTCAATCAAGTAAACCATTAAAATGATAGCTGTACCACCTTTGCTCCCAGTGAATGTAAGCCTACCACCTCTCTGATTACACTTTTTGGTTCCATCAGCAAAAAACTATGAATCTTCGATATTCCATGTGCTAAACTGAGGCTAAACATTCTGAGCTCCTTCAGTCTCTTTTCATAAGGTTTAGTTTTTCTTCCTTATTCTCTGAACCTCTTCCATTTTATATGAATGCTAGAGTTTTGCCCAGAACTCATTACAATACTGAAGTGGAAATATTACTCCCCATGATTCAGAAACTATATTTCTGTGGATGCAGCCTAAATTTATATTGGCTTTTCTACAGCCTCATCATGGTACTGATTTATATCAAGTTTATAATCAGCTACTATTCCAAGGACTTTCATTTTCATAAAATTCACTGTGAATATTTGAAACAATACAGAAGAAATTTTTGGCTTAGCATGAATTAGTTTGCTGATTTGTTTCACTGTATATTGTTGTATAAGGTGTGCTAAAAATTATTATCATCATCATTATCCTTTTATCCTGTGTGAGGTGGGTTGGGCTGAGAGAGAGTGACTGGCCCAAAGTCACCCAGCTGGCTTTTGTGCCTAAAGGGGGCCTAGAACTCACAGTCTTCTGGTTTCTAGGCCAGCACATTAACCACTACCCCAAACTGGTTCTCTAAAAATAGAAACTCGACAAATAACCAAACCATTTTAAAGAATAATATTAATTTGTTATTCATTGTCATTCTGCAGTACCATTAAATTATCATTTTATGTTTTCTCAGATCTAATAAAGAATTCTGAATATAATTTAAGTAACTGTTCCTTAAGTAGCTCTGAAAATCCATATGCTACTATTAAAGATCCACCAGCACTTATGCCAAAACATTCAGAATGTGGATACGTTGAAATGAAGTCACCAGCACACAGGGATTCTGCCTATGCAGAAATTAATAACTCTGTTTCATCTAACAGAAATGTATATGAAGTTGGTAAGTACCAATTTTAGTAATTTTACCATTTATGCGACAGTAACCTTTGTTCTGTTTTTGTTGTTTTTGCGTCAACATCAACAGTCTGTCAGTTTCTACAACTCCACCACATATTTAAAGATAGCCTATAAATAAAGGTAATGAACAGCATGCTTAAAAAAACGTAAATTAGAAGGCATTAGTAACTATGATGTTCTACTCTGTTTAATTATGTAGCTATCTTGCATTGTCATGATTAAATACTGTTTTAAGATGACTGCAAATTGTTTAATACCATTATTAAAGAGGCCTGGGAAGAGAGGAAATACATTATTTTATAGCAGAAATCATTTTGTGGGCCACATGAGGACTAATTCATTAACCTAAGGACCTCAGCACTAAAGCCTTTTCATATAACTGGTAAAAAAAAGTCTTTAGTGAGTCCAAAATGAAGAAATGGTACATCACTGAACAAATTTGTTAAATAAAAATACTGTGAAATTGAACTGTTTTTTCACCATTTCACTTTGACTATTTATCTTGAAGCAATATTTGGTTTGGTAGTTGTTGAAAAACAATATAAAATTGTTGGACATAATTATCTGAAACTTGGCAGGATTTATCTGTCAGAAAAGACAACTATGCCTGAAAATTATTTCCAATTCTTCCAAGAAATGAAAATGATATTGGCAGCTCTTAAAGAAAAAAAAATGTTTTGTCTTCAATTTGGCATGTGTCATCCTGTTATAAGAAGCTATAATTTCTGCAAATTCAGCTCAGTTTCAGATTTCTTGTCATGGAAACCAGGGTAAAATTGATTTAATAAACATGTATGTGACATAGCTGCTATGTTGTGTTTTCCAGTTATAATTAATGGGGAAGCACTGATGTTTGATTTTGAATTAAGTTGAAGATTGGAGCCTAAGCTTCATCTACCTTCTTTGGCTGTCACAGGCGTAAAGCGAACAGCTTGAAGCAGAAACTGGACCAGTTACTTTGGGAAGTTGTGTCCATGGGGGTTACATAGGGCCAAGAAGGAAATAGGTCAGTGCTGTGTTGGGACTATCAATCTGGAAGCTCCAGGGTAATGAGTGAGGAAGAGTCCAGCAGAAAGAGTTCTGCGGAGACAAATGCAGCAGCTCCATAGTGCCCAAGGGTAGGAGAAGAACCAATGGATGGAAGCTTTAAAGAGGGAAATCCAAATTCAAAATAAAGAACTATCTCACATAGTGACACTTTGATATACATTAAAATACCATTCTACTTTTTATTTACATTAGAATACCATTCCGAAAAGATACCAGATGATCACATGACCATATCATATGGGTCAATGATACCTCAAATTTTTTACACCTCCAACAAAGAAAGCTGATGTCTATCCTTTCAACCACATTCTTTGGGGAGCTCAATATTCTCTAAATATGATTTTTTGACGAATCAACTTTAATCTCAAGTCTATTAATGCCATTTTAATATTTGTAAGGGCATGAACCCCCTTGATGTGGCATTATCAAAGATTCTAGTTCTTTAGTCCATGTTTTGAATATCCCAGAAGTGTCTATTTTAATATTCTTGAGTTTTCGATAGAGATATATTATGGGTTTTGCTTCTGTCATGGGTTCCTTCAAATAATTGAGTATCTCAGGTGCCTTTGAAGCAGGCAAAGCATCTGGTCCATATTGGTCCATTAGAACATGCTTAAGTTGAAGATACCACCACTGTTGTGAACTGGGAAGATCAAATTCAATTTGAAGTCAGGACAAATCCTTAAAACATCCATTACCATTAAACTGGTTTAAAGTCATACGCCCAGCTTCTGTCCAAACTTTCCAATAGAACATTTTACCACCTATTTTTAAAGTATATTTTTTTCCAAAGAGTTAAGTATTCATGAGCTTCATTATCAGAACCCAATATATACTTCAATATGGCCCAAAGATCTCTCACCACACACACTCCTGGGAATAAAACACCTTTTCTACGACTGATTAGATTTTTATTCCACCTTTATTTGGGGGGGGGGGGCAATTCAAGATGGCATAAATACCCCCACCTGTTCTTCTTTCCTGAACTGGCCATTGTCTTACACCCTAAGAACTGTGGAGCCCAAGAAGGCCCTGAGTGACATTGGCCTCTTTCTATCTGCTACTGGTTGAGGCAATTGAGGGAAGTTGCTCCAAATGAGTTTAAAAGCTGTGGGTGGCAGGCAAGTGGGGATGTCTGCTTTCCTGGCAAAGCTCCTTGCTACCAGCAGCTTCCTCCCTTTGAGACCTCTGTTTTAAAGCATGGAGACTCCTAAATGAATGATTTCATTGATTTTCATTAAATCTTATGATTCTTTCCCATTTACAATATCGGAGTAACAATATATGCATTCTTTTAAATTGCAGAACCAACAGTTAGTGTTGTCCAAGGCGTTTTAAGTAATAATGGACCTATCAGCCAAGGTCTTTATGATTTACCAAAAAACAGCCACATCCCTTGCCACTATGACCTGCTGCCTCCTCGGGATAGTCCTGCATCTTCAGACAAAGATGAAAACAGTGAATGATCCTTGTTGAGTATAATCAAGTTATTTTGGAAAAGTGGAATCTAGTTATTCTTCTTGTTTTCCTACCTGCATCCAGTAAAAATTTGCTGTACATGAAGGAGGAGAATCAAACTATGGTTTGTATATGCTTATTGCTGATGGATAGATGTCAAGCTTGGAAGATCATGACAGATTTTCCATACATTTCCTAAAAAGAAGCAAATGCCAAACACTTACACTGTGATGGATTGGCTCAACATCCAAGCTTGCAGAACAATGCTTGTGCCAACTCTACTGCTGTTCCTCAGAAGGAGCAGCCATCTTTCACTATCTCAACTTATATATGTTGACATGCAATCAAGACAGCATAATCTGCCAAATATTCACTTAGCCAAGAATTACTAATTATGGAGTGGGGGTTGTAAAAAGAAACCAATAACACTTTTTCTATGGCAAAGATGGTATGAAGAGATAAACTGAGAGTATACTCTCCACAGTTCTGGACTGATTTGAGAAACCCCCAAGATATTTACCACATTGCTGGTAATGGAAATACAATACAGGAATAATTTTGAATAGGAGTGAATCAGTGAAGCTTGAATGAATATGTCTGGAGACCTGTGTCATGAAATGGGATTTGGTGACAAGTCACACCAGTCATCAGTTCAACTAGACCCAAGTGGCTATTCTAACTACAGTATTTGTTATATGTGAGTAATATATAACAAATACATATATTCATAAGCATTTCATAAACATATAAGTTAAAGGTTTTATTTTTACCAAAATGTGTTCAATAACTGGATGAGAGAACCCAAATATAACATATGTACATTTTGAATGAGAAAGAGTTTAAGTTCATCAACAAGGAACACTATTGTTCACCTGAAATCAGTTGACCCAATCTTTGTATACTTGTTGAAAAGGTATCTTTTTATGATTGGTTTAGGAAAAATATGCTTAAGCTGGACTTTTGCATTGCTGATAACTTGGCATGTATTACCCACATTTCATTAACTTGTATCTGTATTTTAAAATAATGTAGCTGTGTTTTCTAGTGGTTTAGAACAACAGTGGTGAAGTATTATATTTTATAACCTTGTCAACTCCCCTCATTTCCAGCTTCGTCTGATTTAGACATTCTGCTTTTATGAAGAAAAATATTATTTGAATACATCAGTTTCCCAACAAAGATAGACTTGAAAGTTGTATTTAACCAGTGTGTAAACTGTGGCAGTAATCATATTTTTAAAAGACAGTTTTAATATTAGTGCAAGGGTTGATTTATAAGAAAAATATTAAATTGAAGAAAACTTAGATTTGATTAATTTTTTATTCAATAAATTTAACATCTCTGATTCTATGGCATTTTTTTATGTTCTAATGTGCCAATAGCTGAATTTTCACATAAAAAGTAAAAATTGGCAAATAATCATCTCTCAATCTGGAATTGTTCTGTACAATGTAGCTATCCATTGCTGTATCATTTTTAGCCCTAATAGTAACAGATTATTCCTTAATATATGTATTAAATGTAATTTTTTTTTCAGTTTACAGTCCCCCATTTTCCATTTCTTACCAATTTAATTCTTAAAATTGGTAAGTCATATGTCATAGGGCTACTAAATTTAAAAAAAATGTTTGTGACTCAGATCTAACTTAACTGAAAGCAGATAATGGTAGTGCTGAGAAAGAAAAAAACGTTTCTAGATAGTCCAGATAATCCTGGACTGAAACTGAAATGTGTTTTACTTTGAAGGCATTCTCCATCAAAAGGTGCTGCCATAACTTGATTTAGACTTGGTATGCAATGACCTTGTATACTAAAACACATACTGTGCTTGGAAGATGCAAACCTAAAGGGCAAAAGAACAGAGTTTTGGAACTTAAATGGTACAAAATCTTGCCGAAGGATAAGATTTAAATAGTGTTTGAAATAGCTCTACAGGCTTTTGTATCATGGTATAAAAAGCTTACAAATAAAGACTATCTTTTTTTGAACCTGACTTCATTCTTAATTTCCCAGCAATTTAAGAGTCAAGAGAGTTGGCTTGGAGATAGATCCTATTATGACTGAAGTGTTCCTGAATTTCATTTTTTATCATATAAAGAAAGTATGTAATGGAAAATGCCAGTAAAGGAAAAGACATATAATGTACATAAAACCTGGCCTCTCAAATGCAGCAGGGCGCTCAGTAGTGTGCACATTCTCTCAGCAGGGTCTCTGTTGGTGCTGGCCAGGCTCCCTATTCTAAAGTTCCTGTCTCTATGTCAATTCTTAAAGAAATGTGAATGTTTATTTAAACAATAGAACACTAGGAGGTAGCCTAAAATTGTAAAACCATTGCTTTGTTTAGCTCTGTTTCATCAACAGTGTTTACTCTTTTTCTAACCCTTTTCACTTTTTAAAATTAGATATGGTAAATGCTGAACTTGATTGAGCACTTCAGATAATAATAATAATAATAATAATAATAATAATAATACTACGACGGCGCATGATGGATAGTGTATGAGCAAGGATGCTGTGTAATTAGACATGAAAAATGTGTATCATGTCCTGTGTCTGGTACAAGATAATCTATGAATAAAAAAGCTGAATATACCAAGTACTATCTAACCATTTCAACATGGTTGACTGAGTATGTTGATGACAAAGTCATAATCTTTGCTTGTTTTTGGTTTTCTTGAGTGAATGATGGTCTACATTAACTGTTCAGTACGCTTGTATAGATAAATAAACTTTTGACATTCCCCCAACATGAGATATTTGGTTTAGCCCCAGGCATGAATATATGTCAAAGAATTGTAGGCATTGTCTATAATTTAACTCCTTCTATTCTTATGATAGACTAGACTAGCATTACACAGCATCCTGTGTTAATTTCCTCCATGTTTTTTGAAAAAGTCCTGGCGGATTGTCAGTTTAATCAAGTGGACAGGAAGGAGTAATTTATGTCCCTCACTTATGGCCCTTAGTTCCAGGTAAATCAAAACAATCATAGGCTCATTAAGAGAACATAATTGAAGTAGGAAATCATAGACTTTCAGTTAATGTTGGAGTACAATACTACCATTCCTGAACATTATCCTTACAAGTTTAGACTTATGACACCAACATCAAACAGTATCTGGGAGAATAGCAGGTTCTCCCTATCCTCTGTTAAAGAAGCCAAAGCAAAGGTAAACCTAAATCCATCTGTGGGCTGCTCTCATTCCATGGAGGTATTATTAATTCAATAATATCAGGATTTAAGGATTTAATATTTAACTTGAGAGTCTATCTATAACAGCTAAAGTATACACTGATAGCACATAGAAATGTGTAATAGTCAAGTACTGACAAAACAATGTCATAATGTTATTGCACAGAATACGTTGATGGAACACATATATTCTTAAATTTAATATTTGTTTGCCAGAGTGCTCTCTGATTTGTTGATTATCTTGATTTCAAAGTTTGCATTAAGAATTAAGAGCTGTAAAGTCTCGGGTGTAAGCTAGCAACATCCTTCTTTCTGTGCCTGGTGAAAAAGCTTAGTAAATTATAAACCTTCACTTTAATAAAAGCACATTCTTGCATTTTCTGTTTCTGAGAAGCATTAGTCCCAGAAAAGTTTTATTAAACTTCAAGGCCAGAATTACTTTTTGTGGGAATGCTAATAGGTTCCTTTCCTGTTAGAGCTAGATACAGATTTCCTTACATGCTTACAGATAGTAGTAGTAGCATGCACGTGTTCTCAATATGCTTGTCTGAAATATCTGAGTTAGTCTATTCTGCATGTCAGAACACACTGTAGGAATGTATGAAGGACAATAAACTGAAATTGAAAAGTGGGGAGTGCAATGTTTGGTATCTAGTGTGTGGATGTTATCTGTGGAAGGAATGCAAGGCGTTACAACTGATGGGCTGAGTATTGAACCCTTTGCATCCACCCAACCAGTTTTGGAGCCCAACATTCTTTAGGAAAAACGTTTTTGATTGCAGCAGCTGCACTGCTAGCAAAAGAAATACAGTCAGTCAGCAAAACCATTGCCAGCCATCTAAACACAAGATTCATGGAAACAGCAGAAGACTGGCGACCATAATAGCGCCCATGCCCAGAACCACAATCATACTCCTTTAAGACACCATTAGGGAATAGAAAATGCCATGTTATCTAAGGGGGAATCAAACAATCCCCAAACTTCAGTAAAAACAGATTTTAAATCTCATGATCATTAAGACAGTTTACTGTTGTGTTGTTCCCATAATTTTAATAGGTTTTAGTACATTATTGTGTAAAGGAGTAATTATTGTCTTTTGACGTTTTAAATTGAAGGGGAAGTTGTGATACAGTAAAATGGGCTTCAGGTTTAGTGTTTGTCATTCCTCTTTGAAATATATTAAGTGGTAATACAGACTCTCCTGATATCCAGCATGAGAGTGTTACCTACAGAAATGCAAGACATTACATGGTATCAGAAGTGGTTGCAGATTCCTGAGTCTTACAGAAGAAATCAGGGGGGAGGGGTTAATAATAATTTTTTTAAAAGCTGACCTGAAGCACATGGTTAAAATAATTTTGTAGCTTATCTATAAATGAGGGTTGTGTTCTACCACCCTTCACCTCCATCAGGAAACTTAGCAGAGAATTGGAGAAGATAGGAACAGCAGTTACAGCTGTACAGGACTGTATGAAGAGCAGAAAAAAGTCAGATTTTTTCATGTTTCTTTCCTGTTACCTCTTGTAGCAGAAGAAGCCCTGGAAGTATGTAATGTGAGATTATGGTAAATAGAAGACCCCTATTTTGGAAGGGGTCCTGTTTTTTATTTAAATCTTATTTCAATTAAAAAGAATCTGAATACTATCAGTTGGGTTAATGCACCAATGGATACTGAACAAATAAATTTATACACTACTAGCAGCAAAGAAGGCAAGGAACTGAATTTAGAAATATGGATGAAGATAAACTTGTTGACTGATGCAAGATAAATGTCTGTTTGGTGTTAATACGCTGAAAGAGAAACTGCCAAGAGG